GCGAGTCTAGGTCAAGAATGTATCGTACGATAGTTTGCTCTTCAGATTTAGTTAGCTTCTGGCAATTTGGCTGCGTCGTAGGTCGAAAGGTGATTCCTTGAAGCCGCCGAGAGATCTGCTGATGATGGACGTTATAGGCTGCTGCAGCGCGTCGAATGCTCTTAAACTGGCCTGTACGATAGGCCTGAACTGCTAGAGTAAGCCTACCCTCTTGCTGAGTAAATATCACGTTCTGTTGTTGAGGCATTGTCTTTCGTACGTGAAGTTCGCGATGCCAAGAAAAAGTGGCACTCTCGGTGGGGTGGCACTCTCGGTGGTGGAATACGTTATATATTTATTAATTATTTTAATCTATCTATAGAGTATTAGGTTAAGCCTCTTTTTATTAGGCGTTAGCCTAAGCGTCTAACTAATTATAGAATCTAGGTGTGATCTAACACCCGGAATCTGTCACCCACCCAAAATATCCCACGTGATCTGACAGGTAGACCCTGGCGCTCGGTTCTAATCGGCCCAGATCATAGAATCTGGGTGCCTAGTTTCACCCGGATTCTGCCACTTATCTAACAAATCTAACCCTAGGTTAGTGGTATAGTTCAGAGATATGGTATAGATTTTTAAATATGAATATTATCTATCTAATAACTTGAACTTGATGACAAGCTCTGGTTTATCCCATACACTATAGACCTTCTGGTGAATCCAATCATTGCTCTCTAGGCATAGTTCGAGATCGTAATTCCATAGTATTGTAGCAATAATCAAACGTATTTCGTGATATGCTAAGCTGTAAATACATATTAATAAGTGTTATTATCTTATATATCTTACTAAAAAACTTACTTTCTCCCTATACAGTTACGTGGCCCATAGGAAAAAGGTTGGAGAACATCTTTTCTATCAGTGTTGTATCCACTATCTCGCAACTATCGCTCGGGAATAAAGTTATGAGGGTGTTTGAAGTTAAGAGAAGAGCTATAAGCTGCTTTCTGTTGTACGAAAACCCTTGTCTATATCACGTCAGCCTGACTAGAAATGCGAATAACTCTAGATGACAGTATTCTTTACCTTCCCTGGCACCCATTTGCCACAGACAGCAGCACCGCCTATTGGTACCTCTCGAGGTAGACCAATTGGTATTGGTGGATAACATCGAAGAGCCTCTTCAATGCATGCATTCAGATATTCTAAGCGTTGTAGTATGCTGAAAGACAGCTCTTCCTCTGATAGAGCGCGTATCTCAACGATAAGTTTGTCCATCTTCTCAGGACTAACAAGAAGCAAGTATGTTAATCCGCTTAGTAGAGTAGCAATAGTTTCGGTACCAGCAAGCATAAAGACTGCTGCGTTTGCATGCATCTTGGACAGAGGTAGCTGGACTTTTGGATTCTCAAGAACAAGTTTCCAAATATCTAGTTTTCCAATATCAACTCCTTTCTGGATTCGTTTATCCACGCGTTCAGCCAAGTGCAGAAAGTGTTTTTTCTGTTCATCTCGCAAAGATGGAGGCATGAAAGTCATGAATAAGTGTCTGAGAACAGGGTAAAAGAGCGGAATCTGAAGAAGCGTGAAGGTTTTGATGTTTTGAAAGACTCCTCGGACCCATGGTGTATACTCGCCTATATCTAGCATACCCAAAGGTTCGCTGAAGGTAAGATCCCCCATAACATCAAATGTTGTAAAGTTGTACAACTTTACAGCGTTCAAGGATATCTCTGGATTTCCACTTATAGTTGCGTCAATATTCTGTTTGAGTTTAGTTACATATTTGCGAATGAGAGGCTCTTGGAGTTTCAGGGCCTTTTCACTAAACGCGTTCAAGAAAACCTTGCGGGTCTGGTTGTGATCTTGTGCTGTTAGTTCTGTCGCAATACTATGTTGCCCATTTTGCTCAGGTGTGTAGAAACGTGTCATATCTTTCGCAAATTCTGGGCGTCCTCCTAACTGGTGACCAGTGATATCCTTCCATGCTTGAGGACTAATGTAACTCAGTCCTTCCGGGGCAAATCGAACCACTTCGCCATATTTCTTGTGCAGTTCACAAAACCAAGCGACTTCTTTACCACAGGCTTTGTTGTAAAGGTAGCAGAGATTTGTTAAAGCTGCAAATTTAGGACCTGGATCTAATTATGTCTTTAGCTAGGGAGCAGAACCTAGCATCGTCTATTGAAGAGTTTGTTGCTTACATTTTCTCAAAGGGTGGAATAGAAAACTATAAGTAATGTTGAGAACGAAACTGAATACAGTCTATAGCTTTTAGCATTTAATAATAAGCTACCAAGTTGGCATAGAGTCTTACTATAGCAAGTATCCCAACCAGATACTGTGGAACATATCTGAGTTAGATTGCTCTGATCGAAAAATGAAGATTACAAGGAACCATCATTCTGGTTTGAAAAATAGAGTGTGAAGGGAAAGAAATCCTATCAAATTGGTTGAGTAGGAATTTGTCCGGATAGGTAATATTTCAATTAGTGAGCACTACCTTTATCTTAAGCTAAGAGAAAAGGGTCCTTTTTCAAGGTTCACCGACATTTACAGCCATAATGAGATCTGTCCCATAGGTTCCTAACGTATTTTTGCAGATCTCTTTTCACTAGAATGTTGTTGAACCTACCGAGCCACGATCGACAGGTAGTTGGCTGAACCATACTAGGTAGATCTCTCCTGAGTTCTAATGATGCACGATGGAGTTTCATCTACCAATGCAATGCGGAAGATTGGTAGTAGAGTTATCTATGCTAATACTATTAACATAGTATCATTGCGGCTTATGCAAGACTTCTGAAGCAACAAGCCCATGTAACAGCAACAGGGATGCACCGTCTCAACAAGAAAAAGCAATAGCTGTAGAAAACGTAACTTCACCAGAAATGAAGCAACAAACTAATGCAACTACAAAAAGGATGCACTGTCTCGGCAAGAAAAAGTAGAAGCTCCGTACTACTAATGAATGAAATGGCAAAAAGTGGAGACATTACATAGGATGCTGCGGCGCACAAAACTCTGCCTTTTCACAAGCGACAGATATTATACTAAGATATTTTTCAAGCTCAAAGCCTCGACGGACGATTTGCAATCAAGTATAGGCTGGTACATGGGGCTGCCCCCCCAGGCTGGTCTTTGACTTTGATTACGAAAAAAGGAAGACAATGTAGATGGCTAACCATCCAATATACACAAATCTTGTTAGACCAAAGGTGATTAAAAGCAATGAAGTACTGTGATCTAGCTCTACTAACTAGCGCAATTGTAAAACTAATTAGATCTCTAGCTTCCTATACATGTAAACAATCTCACATAAACTATGATGACATATTTCGGGATTCAGCCTATGTCGAAACCTGCTAGGTCATATTGCAGACTGAAAAGGAGCATACAATGACCCGGAGAAGGTGCGACTCCATATCTTGTATTCCGGCTCCCCACCAGACCGGTCAGACCGACCCAGTCCTGTACGGAGCATAGTAGTGCTAGGTGGTATAGTAAATCTTTACTTGTTACATTGTGCTATGTTACATCTAAAATGCAAGATATGCATAAAAAGTAAGTTATATATGATAGACTGAGCGTATAAGATAACAGTCGTTACTTCTCTGCAGACACACTACCAATATATTGCTACTGTATCTAATCTTGGACGATCACAAACTCGCTCATACACAAGATGGGAGACTTTCATGATACCAACAATCGACTCCCTGAAATATCCTACTTTCAGCCACGTTGGACTCTACCACATGCATTTGAGAAATGCAGGCCACCGTCTTCACTAGAGCCACCTCCTATCAAAGCCATGCTAGAGCGATTAAGCAACTTGGGAGCGGATGGAAACAATACCCAACGTTTGGTATGTTGTGACCGTCAGAACTATCGGATTTTCATGCATTCTAACAATTAATTACAGGAACAATCAAATCCGTTGAAGGGATCAGCTGACGTTTCTCACACATTCAACTCCACGACATTCAATCCTATCTGTGTAAAGGACTATCTACAGATGTACAGAGAACCGCATAGGATCGTATTCTCTTACAGTGCTGCGAAAGAGATCCTTGCCAAGCTTGCCGAAGGAATACCCGTGAAATCCTATACCTCTTATATCAAAGGACTACCCAGGGTTCATTGTCTTGCAACGCAGTACGTCGCCAGCATACCTACATTTGCAAGCCACAGATGTGCCAAAGATCTGGAAAAAATGCAAGAAATAGCAAAGGCGTGCTTTCTAATCAATTCTCAGCTGGCAACTGTCATGGCTTCTATACAGCATTGCATTGTTGGATGCACATACTCTACCGGTCCAGGAATCAAAGAGTGGGCATCCTGGTGCAACTTATTAATCCCACTTTCAGGATCAGAGCTTAGCTCTACTAACAGAAGTCGGCTTCATCCGGTTGTAGCAAACATGGTGAAAGAAGAAGCACAGTATGCTAGCATAGCTACTGCCTTCTTCTCGTCACCTACTGTGGAACTTGCAGCCCTACTCTGCTCCGATTGTTGTGGTACAGTTGAATTTACCCAGCAACCATCACAGGCTATCGGCGATGAATCTCGAGACAAAGATCTTTTTACGGGTCTCATGTGGCGAGGGATTGAAGGAGGATCTTTTTTCAACACTCATCTTTGGCCTATATGCTCTGAGTTTGACCTCGGTGATGCTTTCGGTTTTAGTATAGTTGCTTGCATTATCAACGATATCATGGGCCTTGAGCATGATATTATCATGAAGGAGCCAGCAAACTGTTTCATCCTCGCTGGAAGTATGGGTACCCTGCTGTCTCCTACTTTAGAGATGCTTTCAATCTATACGGCATTCAACCAGTTGGCACGTCTCCCAGAACCATGTCGATCTTTCTACATACGGTATTGGTTATCTATGTTTGCACTCCATCTGCTGTCCTCACGATACTGCGCATTCTACTTTAAAGAGGATATTCAACAAACAGAGCGCAACTTCGTAAACAAAGGTTTCGCTTTTACACCGCAAGATAAGCGTAAGAGGCCAATTCAGGATTGCCATCAAGCATTGCTGGAGATTGTAAGCCAGGAGCTACTTTCAGAAGTCCGTAGGCGAGTAGCAAGTCCTAAAGAGTGGCCACAGCTTCTTTCTGAGTGTTTTGATCATGGCGGAGAGGGGGACATATCTCTTCTAGCAGCAACTGTCGTCGCGTGTGATCTAGAAACTGGGGTACTTTATGGCCTTGCTTTGGATGCAGAAAACGCGCTTCCTGGAGCTAAGAGCACTGTTTCAATAATGGATTTCGTTGCTACGGGCTACCAGCACCACGTGTGCTGCTCATTAGTGTAACATAGAGAGCAAGTTAAATAGCGAAAACATGTATTTCAATCTCATCTTATCGACCTGAATCTTTAGCACACCTGTTATCATTGTGTATACTCAGTTCTAGGAAGAAAGGCTGACACAAATATAGAATCTTTTACTCTAAGCCCATCAGATACGGCTTATGCCATAGGTAACAGAGTGTATTTGTTTAAGGGGTTTAGCAGATAGGAATGTGGCTATCAAGATAGAATCGAGAAAAATCGTCAGAGAGCCCTAAAGGGGTTGAAAGAGGACGACATATACCACATGTGCCTTGAATACCACTAACCCAAGAGGTATTTAATAGAGCCCTAATGTAAGAGGCTGGGGCAAATGCTTAGTTTGCAAGAGGTTGTATTCGATAGAGAGTTAATCACTAATAATTGCGCGGTGTTGATTTACTTGTTACAACAAAGGTCACGCCAAGAGTCTGAGCGCGTCGTCTAAGCGGCGCTCGGACAGTGTGTAGATTTCACGTGCTCCAAGTAGCACGCGGATTCTATAGACAACCCGAGATCCCATCAAGGAGCTACTAGGAGGGCGTTCTCCCAATCCAGGCTTACACTCAATACCCAGGTCGAGTTGATACTAAGGCTTTCCCACACGGACCCAAGTCATTATCTATAGACTATTGTATACCTAGGTACTCGAACATTGTTATAGATCAATTGCGCAGAGAATCGTATCATATTGGGCGGGGTGCGCAGCTTGCCGTTAGAGTGCGTTGTATTGCTATTGCTTTTTCTTGTTGAGGTAGTACATCCCTGTTACCGTTACAGTGGCTTGTTGCTTTGGCTTAGCTGAAGTTATCATTTCCACAGCCTTTTATATGCTATGATACAAGTATGTGAGTTTAGTATAATGTAACAGCTTGGCTCCACTATATTACACAGCCCAGCAATACTTAGAAGTTTAATACCTGTATATGTGCGACATTAAGTGCCAAACGCCAATTATTACCCAAAACTATAGGCTCTCTATCACACCAACTTCGAGTTTTCTGGAAACCGCTAGGAAAGCACGCTATCTAGGAGAACCGA